ACACACACACACACCCACCGACCGACCGACCGAGCCTTTGACATTAGACACCCTCTTGAATGAGCAACCTGTGTCTGGCTGATCTGGAGAATCTGTTTCCAGGTGTTGGGTGACATGGGTGCTGAAGCACAAAAAGCTATAATACAAATGTGACACATAAACACACAGTGAGCATTACTGACCCCATTACACATTTTACTCCACACAATTTTCTCCAACTTCGTTCCCTTCAGTGTTTTTTAGCTATTAAAATTAAAATAAATTTAATTGAATTTGTTAATTGAAATAGAATTAAATAACCTTTTGAAATTGAATAAAATATAAATATTAGAATAAAAACTTTTCAAAACACTGCAAATAAAAAACAGAAATATAGGGAAAACCATACATGAATGTGCACAAATACATGAGTGGCATCCTTCTCTAGGTTGACTCACCCTTCCTTACAGCTTGTTTCTTTAAAACAAAATTGTCCCACTCAGCCAGTAGAATTCCTGCAATGCTTTATCTCAATTTCAAAGGCTCCAGTAATGTAGGATGTGTCTTCTAATATGGTGAAACCAGACTCCAATAGCATTGTGTTGTTCCTGATATCAGAATATATGTAACACACATGATAGAAAAGATGTGCTATTACTGTTTTATGTTTGAACTTGTTGGACGGAAAAATCCTATAGACTTCAATTGAAGAAGGCACCCGAGCCATATCAACCGAGACCATAATATCGTCAAAACTTGCCGGTGTGATCTTTTGACTTTGACTTTGAAGTCGATTCAGTCCTCACCACTTTTTGAAAGCCATTGATAGCTTGCAATAGCATGTAAAACAGATAAATATCTCTAATCTGTCATGCTTCATAATTTTGTTTATACAGTATATGTAACACACACACACACACACACACAAAAAAAACATTTACACCATCCAGATTATGAGGGACCTGATATATAAACTTTGCCACACACATAATGGGAAGTTTAAAAAAAGTTAAACTGTGTTATTATGTGCACACAGTCCACACACCGCAGTGCATACACACTCTTTTATCAAAGTGATGAAATAAACAGTGCTTTCAATTTACAAACAAATCAAATATGCCACTAGGGCTGCACAATTAATCGAATTAATCGAGGCCGTGATTTATTTAAAAAAATGTATATATATATATATTAGAGGTGTAACGGTGCACAAACATGACTGGTCAGTATGTACCTCGGTTTTGACATCACGGTTCGGTGCGGTTTCGGTACAGCAGGGGGAAGACTAAATATAAAATTGCATTTTTTAAATATTAAACAGTTGTTTACTGAACAAATTGCTCTTTCTTTAAATAAATTTAATTATAATAAAAATTTTCTTAGGGATAAAAATCTACCTTAGATTCTGCTCTAAACTATAGGGAGCCCTTTTACATTACTATAAGGTTACAATTAACAACAGAGCCCAAACTTAAATGTAATTACTATTTATTTTTAAATATAATAATCAACACTCAACTTAAAAAAAATGTGTGCAAAACATGTAAATTGCACATAATGCAGTTTTTAAATTAACTGCTAGATTATACAATTTTAATTTGTTGTTGAAATATGATAATTTACACAGTGGCTGAAACTTGTTTCATAACAGATTTATTTAAACATTAAGACATCACTAACAGGTGAAGTAAAATGTAATGATTATATAGTCTAATAGTTTGCAAAATGCTCTTCTCTAGACTTCATTAATAGCGCACTAACGAGCTGTAGACACTGATGACCTGCCTGAGGTAAATGAAATGCTACGTGACATTTTGTTTAGAAGCTGTTTTATTGCCATCTTTCCGCGGTCTAAACACTGATTGAGCGATTATATGAGGCATGAGATGTTTATTTTGCGTTAAAACTAGTAGTAAAGAGGAAGAGATGATCGCGCTGCCTTTTGAACGGAGGCGTTTATACAGCGATGACACGACACATCAAAACAGCATTTATTGTGTGAATTTTCTGGGAAAAAAAGACATAATTTGAAAGATGAGACTTTATTTCTTATCAAAAGTAACAATATATGAAACTGGAAGTTTTCAATGAAGATCCACTCATGCAGTGCTTAAAAACAACGCTGTATTTGTTCAGTACACATGTGTACCAAACCGAAAGACCCGTACCAAAAATTTTCGATACTAATATATGTACCGTTACACCCCTAATGTGTATATATATGTATGTATATGTGTGTATATGTGTGTGTGCTTCATGTTTCAGAGTGAAACATTTTCTTTACAGTTGTAAAGTATTTTTTCTTAAACATTTAAGAAACATTTAATAATTAGAGGTTCAAACGTGTAGTGCTGAAACCCTATTGTAATAGTTAAGATTTTCAAAGATCACTATTCTGACCTAAAAGTGATCGGGCAGACCAAACTGTAAGGCGTCGAGACCTGAAGCTTGGAGGGATAGTAGTACCTACCCCATCTACAACGTCACCAAGGCTCGCCCAGATCAGCCTGATAGGGGCACTACAGCGACCAAAAGTATGAAATCGCTCATAACTCCTAAACCACTTGTTGCAGACTTAAGTGTCTCATATCATGGGAATGGCCTTCGCTCAAGATGAAAACAAAACACATGTGGATTTCGGCTATTTTTAATTTTTTTGAAAAACCTACTTTTTCAAACTAGGTTTTTCACCCAATCAGTGCAGAAAAAATCTCTGGAGAGTGAATATTGATAATTATCCAAAAAAACAAAAACAAATTTGAGTTTGACTCACTGTCGCAAAGGGATGCCAAAATGTTCGAAACAGGTGGGGCCACTTTTCCTAAAATAGCTATAACTTTTTAACAGAATGAGATATTTACACTAAACTCGATGTGCGTATGTAAGACCTCAATCTGAGGTCACATGACAATAATCGTGGAGTTTGACCACTGTGTGGTGCTTTAATAGGCCAAACATAAAAATAGCTATAACTATGCATCTGTTAGTCTGTAAAAAAAACAGACTAACGCTAAGCAAGCCCGTAACCAGCTATGAGGCCACCGAGGTCTGGACCTCTGTACATTTTTCATGTTCAAAAATAACATTTGTTCTTTGAATTACTAATTTGCTGTTAAACTCATCATATGAATGCCTGCATGACATGTATAATTCAGTTTAGACAGTTTGCAAGAATGTTTAGCGTCCCTGTATGAAAATGATCGCTGGATTCGATGCGATACGCTGGTGGAGTGAACGAGGCTTGAGAGAGTTGTGAGTGAGGGCGCAGGAGCAGCCTGATCCAGCTATTATAAGCGTTTTTGGAAATGTCTTTTCCTCTTAATTTAACACTGTAGAAAGTTAATAAAGTAGGAAGTTGCAGTTTAGAGTCAGCGATATCTTTATCTTACCATATTTTCAAGAAGAGATTGGAAATAATTTCGGTTTATTTATTTTTTATGTATCTTTTATTTATTTTTATGTATTTTTTATGTTTGTTTTAGTATCAATATCTGGCAACACTGCACCGGCACTTAAATTGAAAGCAATCAAAAAAGCCCATGGACAGGTTTTTGCTGACAGGATACGACATTCGGTAAGGGAAACGCAAAAATTATCATGATATTATCTGTCATAAACGTTATCAACGCTGTCAAAAACAGTAGCATTTAACACCAGTACACACAGATCTGTAGAACAAGAAGGTTACAGAATGAATTGAAATACGCAAAAACTAGCCACGAAGAAGTCTATGCCATGTCATTCAGTATAGTTACATTTTCACAAATCATGCTATAAACTTTCATAAGAGCACTAGACAAAGTTATTGTAGTTATGTATTGTCGTGCCGTGCCGTGCCGTACTGAGCCGTGCCGAACCGAGTCGTACCACGCAGTGGAAAAGCACCATAAGTAGTATGTAATGTCTTTTTTTGTATGTGCTTAAAGGCCTTGAAGCATTTGAATACCGGTAATCGCAATTTAACAATAACAATTTTAATGAAAGTATTAGGGTTTTCCCCCAAATTGTGCAGCCCTATATGCTACTCTCATGAATTTAGTTTAGCACACAAATAACATGAAATCATTATCCTGAAGGTAAAAAAAATTACATGAATTTAAGCTGTAAATTCAGTTATAAGTAGTTAATGTACTGCTTTTGGTATATTTGTTCCATGATGTGCTGCATTTTAATGTAATGACAGTAATGATTGCTTGTGAAATTGCTTTGAATTGTGTTCTAAATTGCAGAAATCACATTCTGCCTGCAAATAATATATTTTCATCTAAATAATTATCAACAATGCACACTTAACTTAGAAGACACACTAACAATCTCATTCGGACATCAAACAGTATATTGGAGTTCCATCCAATTTAAGACCTGGTTGCCTTAGTCTGGTCACCCTACATGCAAAACATTGCTTGAATCAGCCCAAGCAACCAATGCACCACTGTCCCCACCACTTTTTATGACAAAGCTACGCCACTGCACATAGCAACCACCTACCAATGCCTTAGCAACCACCCAGAACATTTTAGCAACCACATAGCAATGCCCTGACATCCACGGCATCCCTGTATACTGTACCGTCAAGCAACACTCAGAAAATGTAATAATTTAGTCTTTGTCTGTTGGATCCTCCTCAGCCATACATTCACACATGGTAATTTTCTTTTATCTAGAGAGGGTTTGTTACTCAGGACTGTTAACAATATTCGGATCTCTGAACTCTCTGTAGATAATTCATAGAGAGTGTGATTCAGTATGCCAAAACACACAGCAGTCATGTGTCTTGAGCGTCTTTTATTACTCAGGCTTGTGTAATCTGCTAATTTGCTCCATTGGAGATTTTATCTGATTTATCAATGTCTTCCTCTTCCTGTCCCTCTGATTCTCCTTTATCTTCTGTAGTCGATAAAGGGCTCGTCCCTGTCATCAGCGTAACAAGGCTGATTACCTGCTATTAGATCTCATTAAGGGCTGTCTGTATGGTGACACAGTCTTCCCACATTCCACCTGCCTGTCAACACCCCGGCCAATCTCTCAGAGCCTCTCTAGCCTGCCTGACGGCAAAAGGGTGGGCTGGAGATGCTGCAGGCCAGACTTAAAGATGCACACACATAAAAAAAAAATCTCCGTTCACAGGGAGTAACTTTCTATTCATGAGGCATGTGGCAAAACCTACTTCACAACCCATGCTAAAAAAACATGTACTCACACAGAAATTCCACTTAAAAGTTTATGGCTTGTTTGTATGTAGATCAAGTTTTAGATGTGGCTAGAAAAATTAAGTGGAGTGTTTGTGGCTCATTGAATAAAAACATCAGATGATTGCAAACAAAGGATGAGAAAGTATTTAAAAAAAAGACAATAGACTTAGGTAAATATAAATGAATAAAAATGAATTAAGAGGCATTTAAGATCTACTCATAAAGTTTGAGAGATTTTTTAAACATTTCTTGTTGCTTTGTACTAGTGTGAAAGTGTGAAAATCATAAACTTCACATCAACCACAACACAAAACTCTCCAACAGGACCTTGTTTATTCATTTTCAATTGATGAATTCTTTTATTTGAAAGGCTCATGTTGTATATGTTTTTTAGGGCTGGGAGGAGAGTGTTGATGCAGCCGTCTCCCACCTCTTAAAAACGTGTCTGTCACGCAGCCCCAAAGATCAGGCCATCAGCTTGAGCACCGGGCCGCTAACCATCCCAAAAGACACGTCACGCCTGAAGAAACACATCACGCTGCTCTGTGACCGCTTGGGCAAGGGTGGCCGTCTCTCTCTCTCCTCAGAAGCCAATGTCCCTACAACCATCATGATGCCAGGTCAGAAATATCTTAGTTTGGAAGCTTTCATGCATAGAGGAGTCATTTTTGGCTTGAAGGGTCTTCATTGTAAAACTTAAGCCAATATGTTTAAAACGAGTAGGGCAGGAGCTAATGGCATTATTTGGAGCCCAATATAGAACCTTGGGGTACTCCATATGCGATGCACGCAGAGATAAAAGACTAGTTCCCACTATGTAACAGCCATAGTTCTATATTTAAGACCCCTTTAAAGCTTTGCTACTCATGCCATACCAAGGTATTAATAATAGGCCTACTTCCTATGTTGCAGCAGTACAGATTGTAATGAGGCTACAGCTCCAGATAGGAACATCTGTTTTCATCTTGTAGGATGAATTACATTTGTATTATCAACTGAGCTGTCAGAATGAGCTTTTAACATGCTAGATTTATTTAAAATGTTCAACGTGTTGTTTTAATTTTTTTTATGGTGATTAACGCGTTTACCAATTTTGATGTGTTTTTGACAGTTCATTAAAAAATCTGCTGCATGTTTGAAATAGCCTACTTTTTTAATGCAAGTGCTCACATTTTTTATGTGCACACTAGCATTCAAAACTGCCAGATTGTGTGAATGCACTTGTGTATGTTTGTGCAGCTAAAAGACTCTGCATTCACATTATCTAATTAAAAATGTCCAAAACAGAAATCTGAAGATTGGATAAAGCCAGGTCCTGAAGTAGAGATTTCTGTTTTAGTGCATGAGAAAAAACTCATTTTGAGGAAGCTGCCTTTAAAGATGTGTATTGTAATTGAAATCTACAGACACAAATATAGATAGTGTATTAAAATAATCATTTAATGTGTATTCTGGATGTTCTCTTTCCATTAGCCTGAAAGAACACATTCTATGCAATCAATCAATCAATCAATCTATCATTCAATCACTCAATCAGTCTCAAACTTGACCAGTGCAATGAAAAACAGCCTTTCACCAAAGTGTCAAATTGTAAAAGTCTTGTTTTGTCTTTCATTTTACATTCACATGTTACACTAATGCTATTGTAGTAACGTGCATGGGCAACTAGGATAGAAAGAATAGAGCTTTACTTTATAGGACACATAAAACGGCAGAGATCCCTGAGGAATGTGTGAATGATTAACTCGATGGGTTCTGTTATCAGACGCCTGTCCTCCCTGAAGTCTCGGACTGTCTCTCTCTCTCTCTCTGGTGTTTGGACACTGGGTGTGTAGATATTATCCTCCCTTCAGATGGCAGGATGTCTGAGCACACAGTGTTTGGTCAGTTGCCAGTCGTGTGGAGGAGAATGAGTGACTAATCTCAGAGAATCCTGCTTAAATTGCTTTTGTCTGATGAAATATGTCTGCAGGACGTGTTGTTCCATTGCTTCAAGTTTAAATTCAATCTCTTGACACTCTCTCATACACACACTTGTGACCTGGCTGTTTTATCTGTCTGATTTGTGTCTTCCTGTCTGCCTTCCCCTCTCTGAGTCCAGTTTTCCCTCACCTGACCTTGCGTTGAAGTGATGACATCACATAGGAGGACTGCTACACTCCCTGAGCACCTGCCTCTGAGATAATGCTTCAGCATTCGTAATTTTTGTATCAGAGGGACCTTGTGTTTTCGTTTCATTTTCTTTAAGATCTTCTTTTGAATGAACCACTGGAGGTCATGGTTCGTTCATGGAGGAGTCAGTGTTTGGCTCACTTGTTAAAGGCAAGCCATATTTAGAGATTCAGAGACAGCAAAGCGATATTCTGATGATTACTGTGTACAGAATTTTCCAAATTCGATGGAACGTGAAGTTTTAATCCAACAAAAGCTGGTCTGAGAAAGCAGTGGCTGGTAAACATATGTGATTATTTCACCACAGGGTGTCAGTGCTCTAAACTAGTAATCGCAAAGCTGCAGTGTGTGATGAATAAGATCAGAATGAACCTTTATTTATCTGTATTAAATATGTTAGTCACTATTCTCTGTCATTTTTTATTCACAATCATTTCACTGTATGTAATGCCAAAATATGAATATTCAAAGTAGTCGCACTGTCAACGCCTTGCTGTTTAAAATGAAATGTTTAACATCGTTAAATTTCTTTAAGGCAGTTACCGCACATTAATTCAGTCATTTTAAACCCTGGAATAAGAGCACCAACGCACACACAACGCAGCAATACTGAAAATTAGCCATGGTTTTATTACAAATAAAATTTTAAAAAATTGCAATGGTAGTTAAACCATAGTAACCACAAATTAACCCAGGTTTTGCTACACTAACCATAGTTTAACTATGGTATTTGTAGTAAAATTGTGGTTATTCAAATGGTAATCCGCAACATGGTTACTACACTTTTACAACAGTAAAACCATGGTTAATTTTCAGAAGGGTGTTTATCAGTCAAATTCATTTAAAACTGTAAATTCAACAGATATGAAATATGATCAGTAAGAGAAAAATACTGTTAATGAGAAGACAATCGCTGGACCAATATATTGGGGAAATATATTTATTATTCATAAAGCATATTTATAGGAACATTTCAACAGGTTGAGGGTAATTCATGTTAATGCAGAGAATATGATAAATTATTATTATTATTATAATTTTTTTAAATGCCAGCCCTAAAACTTGGTAATAATCTGCATTCTCATGAGAAACTGTCTGTATGTAGGTGTGCTAAACGCTGACTGGAAACTCCCGAGCTGTACTAGAACGCGGAAGTAGTTGTGCAAGTAGTCCATGGAGTAATAATCATCATATGTAAGCTAAATGAATGCATTTTAAAAAGTGTTGTAATAAACCTATTCATTGTAATGCTTAAAATACTATATTCAGTATTAAATGGGCATCTCCTCTAATTAGTTGATTAAAATATTCCAGACACATCATCCATCGCTAAACTTTCTGTAAATAAAAACCTTGGCAGTAGGACTAAAAACTCATATTGACTTATATTTACTGCAATTCATCTGATGATTTCAGCAGATTTCTGTGCTTCTACAGCAGTGACCAACTGTGAAGTGGAAACATCTAGAAGAAACAACAACTTAGTTGTTGATAGGAGCCTCAAATTTATGGTGCAGAACTGCTGAGTGGTGTGGAACGTAGCACATTAACATGGTTTTGCCTGCTTTCAACACTCACTACAATTTCCTGATTGAACAATTTTTCTGGAGGAAATGTCATCACAAGAACTATTCAGTGCGTTTCTTTGCCATTTGACTAATTAACTTCTAATTGTCCTTTTCCTTAAACAGGACTTCATTATCAAATATAAAACCCAGTGACACACATGAGAGGAGATACTAAGGCAGGTCTAGGCTAAAGTAAATCTTTTAGATAAAACAAGTCACATTTTTTTTGTGTCTTGCTTCTCTCATGAATTGAAACCATAAATAGAGCCAAGAGTTCGTTCCAGGCTGAGACCAGAAACTATTAAGTTGCTTGTTAGCAGATATCAGGTTTTGTTTTTGTAACATTTGAAAGCATTCTTCTTGTTCAGTTGTAGGTGTAGTTAAGTGTCGATCACAGACAAACCCTCCTGCTGTAAGGCTGCCGTACATCTACACAAATACCTGTGTTATGAGACCTGCGTCTCTGATCTGAAATAGTGCTCCTAAATGAACAGCCTGTTGAGGTCTGTGTAAATATTAGAGGAGGATTATGATAAGCTTTTCTCAGGAAAGTAAGCAGTCTCACCCGATTTGTCTATTTGGGGTATGTGGTGTAAAAAAGAGGAAACAAACTCCAAAAGGATTGTGGGTAAGAGGCTGGCCCGAGAGACGTAAGAGGCTGATTCATCAGTCCCCTTCAAAACTCCTAATTCTGGCTGATCCTCAGCACTGAGTGTCAAATCCATCTGATAGAGTCTAGCAGGTGCACGCTGATCTGCCAGCAGTTTGGAGAAATTTTAAATATGTCAACAGTGTGTCAATATGGCTTTTCTATTACACAAAGCACAAAGTATAATTCACATTACTGCTCAATGAGTAGAATGTAACCCTGTAAAGCCTGACTTATGAAATAATACTCCAAAAAAATCTTCTTTTTCCCCCCTTTTTTTTTAAAATAAACCATTTATTGAAACAACAAAATATTTTTTTAAAAGTGCATATGTGTTTTATGTTTTTTTATCATATTTGATAAATAAGGTGTTTATGGTATAGTGATATAGTGAGAATATGGAGCTCATACTTTATTCATACTTTATTCAGAAGTCCAAACTGAGCAAAATGTGTAAATATTGTAAATCAATATTGTAAATCAATGAAATTTTTATAACAGTATAGTAGACTATTTGCATTAAATGCATATAAATATCAGTTGTTACTCTATATCTCTTAGTAAAATGTCTTAGAAAGATGATATTTTTATGATCAGAGCTCTGTAGTTTTTATTGTTGGGGCAATGTTTATAATGCAATGCAATATCATGATGATTGAGAGATGTACATTAAACGTTCCTCAAAAGCTTGATGTATAATATTTTATTCTCAGATTTCAAAAAGCCTATTCTAAAAAATCTTTTAGATTTTAGAGCAAAAACACACATGTACCACAACCTAAAGGTGGACAGTTTTAGAATTATACTAAACTTTTACTTACTAAAAAGTCTGAACTATCAATCAAAGGGCATGTGTACAAGTTTGTCAGCAAAGTTTTGTTTATGCTGATATTTTAAAATGCATGCATGCAACAGGATACTGAAGACTTTACAGTGTTAAGTGGAGTACAGAGTTATGCTAACCAGTAATTTATAATTAATGATGAATATTTTTATGTTGTTCTGCAGTTGGTTGTGAGTCCATCCCTGAACCGATAGTTGAGCAGGAGGAGGAACCACCACTGCAGCAGGACTCCGCCAAGTACATTAAAAAGAAACAGCCATCCAAGAGAATCAAGAGCAAGTCAGGTAAGACATGTGGCTGTCCCAACACCTCAGGAAGCCTCACTGTTGCACTGATTTAACAAAGTTGGAAAAGTAATTGTGACATTGTATACTGCAGATTGATAGAAAATCTCTACCAAGAAGATAACCAAGTAGTTGTGAAGAGAATGTGAACAAGTAAATCAGAGTCAAGTTCTGTGATATGTAAGTTTTTGTTCATATATAGATGTTTAAGCAGGTCTGCAGCACCTGCTTTAATTTGTTTAATCCAGTGATGAAACTCCAATTTATGTAAAAATGAAAGAAAGAAAAGAAACATCATTCAAAACATATAGGCACATACATATCCTCTGGTAAGCTTAAAAAAAATCTCATTAGTGTTGGAATGTCTGAAATGGGTAGTAATTATTGACTAGTTCTGTGTAATTGCTTTGAACTGTTTAAATTGCTGATGAGCTTTACTAAGATGTTTAACCCCATCAGGGTCCCAAAGAACCTGTGTTCAACATGTCCGACAGGAAATGAATGAATATGAGAAAAAATTTTGGAATTGTGTGGATTTCTGTATGAATAGATTTTTAGTGTAACATCACCTTCATTAACCCCCTGAGGTCAACGGTCGCGCCGGCGCGACCAGCTCGCTTTTTTTCTGATCAGTGCGAAAGACACTAAAAATACTTCGATTTTGGTCACACATATAAGTGTTATACATCATTCGAAACTGTTAAGTGTCTACTTTTATTTGTGTACACTCACAATAACAACAAAACTTTGTGCTTTTGTAAAATAAAGAAAACAAACAGGATGCGCTTTCTGTCTTAGTCTCCGCGAAAATCTTTCTGAAACGCATCACAAAAATGAACTGAAACTCAGCAAATATTTGACACAGACATGAAAGATATCTATAGAAAGCTTGAAGTGTCTACTTTTAAATGAAGTAAGTCATGTCGAAAACAAATATTCTGTGATAAAGGAATCTGTATGAAACCAACGCGAGGTCCAGTTTTTCCCGTCTGAGCTCATTATCTGTAATGTGATCATGCGCAGCGCACGCTATTCATACGGTAATCATTCACGTGAGACGCGCAAACCTGTAAACGCCCATATCACCTCCGTAAACAAAGTCTGAAGATTCATCAAGTTCATCTCGGATACTTTTCGTTTCTGGAAGAGACGTGCTGAGAGGAATGAGCCAGAATTTACCTCAGAAGAAGAACGCGACAACGCGCAGCTTGAGCAGCGGAGGAGATCATTTCTGACGAGTAAGTCATGTTTTATTATTTGCATTAGTTGTTATTGTGACATAAACTTGAACCCATTTTGCCAGCAGTTTGGAGAAATTTTAAATATGTCAACAGTGTGTCAATATGGCTTTTCTATTACACAAAGCACAAAGTATAATTCACATTACTGCTCAATGAGTAGAATGTAACCCTGTAAAGCCTGACTTATGAAATAATACTCCAAAAAAATCTTCTTTTTCCCCCCTTTTTTTTTTAAATAAACCATTTATTGAAACAACAAAATATTTTTTTTAAAGTACATATGTGTTTATATAAGTTATCATATTTGATAAATAAGGTGTTTATGGTATAGTGATATAGTGAGAATATGGAGCTCATACTTTATTCATACTTTATTCAGAAGTCCAAACTGAGCAAAATGTGTAAATATTGTAAATCAATATTGTAAATCAATGAAATTTTTATAACAGTATAGTAGACTATTTGCATTAAATGCATATAAATATCAGTTGTTACTCTATATCTCTTAGTAAAATGTCTTAGAAAGATGATATTTTTATGATCAGAGCTCTGTAGTTTTTATTGTTGGGGCAATGTTTATAATGCAATGCAATATCATGATGATTGAGAGATGTACATTAAACGTTCCTCAAAAGCTTGATGTATAATATTTTATTCTCAGATTTCAAAAAGCCTATTCTAAAAAATCTTTTAGATTTTAGAGCAAAAACACACATGTACCACAACCTAAAGGTGGACAGTTTTAGAATTATACTAAACTTTTACTTACTAAAAAGTCTGAACTATCAATCAAAGGGCATGTGTACAAGTTTGTCAGCAAAGTTTTGTTTATGCTGATATTTTAAAATGCATGCATGCAACAGGATACTGAAGACTTTACAGTGTTAAGTGGAGTACAGAGTTATGCTAACCAGTAATTTATAATTAATGATGAATATTTTTATGTTGTTCTGCAGTTGGTTGTGAGTCCATCCCTGAACCGATAGTTGAGCAGGAGGAGGAACCACCACTGCAGCAGGACTCCGCCAAGTACATTAAAAAGAAACAGCCATCCAAGAGAATCAAGAGCAAGTCAGGTAAGACATGTGGCTGTCCCAACACCTCAGGAAGCCTCACTGTTGCACTGATTTAACAAAGTTGGAAAAGTAATTGTGACATTGTATACTGCAGATTGATAGAAAATCTCTACCAAGAAGATAACCAAGTAGTTGTGAAGAGAATGTGAACAAGTAAATCAGAGTCAAGTTCTGTGATATGTAAGTTTTTGTTCATATATAGATGTTTAAGCAGGTCTGCAGCACCTGCTTTAATTTGTTTAATCCAGTGATGAAACTCCAATTTATGTAAAAATGAAAGAAAGAAAAGAAACATCATTCAAAACATATAGGCACATACATATCCTCTGGTAAGCTTAAAAAAAATCTCATTAGTGTTGGAATGTCTGAAATGGGTAGTAATTATTGACTAGTTCTGTGTAATTGCTTTGAACTGTTTAAATTGCTGATGAGCTTTACTAAGATGTTTAACCCCATCAGGGTCCCAAAGAACCTGTGTTCAACATGTCCGACAGGAAATGAATGAATATGAGAAAAAATTTTGGAATTGTGTGGATTTCTGTATGAATAGATTTTTAGTGTAACATCACCTTCATTAACCCCCTGAGGTCAACGGTCGCGCCGGCGCGACCAGCTCGCTTTTTTTCTGATCAGTGCGAAAGACACTAAAAATACTTCGATTTTGGTCACACATATAAGTGTTATACATCATTCGAAACTGTTAAGTGTCTACTTTTATTTGTGTACACTCACAATAACAACAAAACTTTGTGCTTTTGTAAAATAAAGAAAACAAACAGGATGCGCTTTCTGTCTTAGTCTCCGCGAAAATCTTTCTGAAACGCATCACAAAAATGAACTGAAACTCAGCAAATATTTGACACAGACATGAAAGATATCTATAGAAAGCTTGAAGTGTCTACTTTTAAATGAAGTAAGTCATGTCGAAAACAAATATTCTGTGATAAAGGAATCTGTATGAAACCAACGCGAGGTCCAGTTTTTCCCGTCTGAGCTCATTATCTGTAATGTGATCATGCGCAGCGCACGCTATTCATACGGTAATCATTCACGTGAGACGCGCAAACCTGTAAACGCCCATATCACCTCCGTAAACAAAGTCTGAAGATTCATCAAGTTCATCTCGGATACTTTTCGTTTCTGGAAGAGACGTGCTGAGAGGAATGAGCCAGAATTTACCTCAGAAGAAGAACGCGACAACGCGCAGCTTGAGCAGCGGAGGAGATCATTTCTGACGAGTAAGTCATGTTTTATTATTTGCATTAGTTGTTATTGTGACATAAACTTGAACCCATTTACTAGTTGGGTTTTTTCCCAAACTATAATTCCAGACTAAAATGTTTGAAATCGAGTGAAACATTTTTAAATATGATAGGCAATTTTCATTGTATCTAAATTTCGTACAATGCGAGGGATGTTTTTATGCTCTATATAATACAACAATACAATATATATATATATATATATATATATAATACAGATGCTCCTGATATCAACATGCTCACAGATGTTTTTTTGTTTTGTTTTAGTTGTTTGTTCTTTAGTGATCTGATTCCTGCACCACAGATGAATCCTGCTGACTTTCAAACTGTTTTCCTCTGAGAGCGCTGTACCAATATCAGATGTTCAACTACACTGAAATTCTACACAAATATGGTAAAACAAGCTCCTTGACTACTGATGATGGTTTTTGTTTCTCTTGAATCCATGAAAAGACGCAGCAAACACTGGAAATATCAGGTATGGTTTACTTGTTTCACGTGTTGAACAGAATCTGTTTTCAGGAATGACACAAAGTCTGTTCACGTCTCTGTGTTTAGATCAGTGTGATCAATAATGTGTCTTTGACCTTTATTATGTATATTTTTATTTTACTGTGTTGTAAATAAAATACAAATAATCAAACCCCCCATTATTTTAGTCTCCTCACAATCTTTCTTACCTGCCTCGCAGTCACAGTCACACTGATGGGCCATTAGGGGAGGGTCCTTTGTGTCTCAGGTGTGAATCACTAAATATTCATGGTCATTGTCACTCCCTCGCATATGGCCTTTCTGACACAAAACATGTCTTACCAAATGTAAAGGTGACCTATTATGCAAAAATCACTTTTATAAGGTGCTGAACACAGTTGTGTGGCCGCAGTGTGTGAAAACAACCAGCCTATAATGGTAAAAATCCACCCAGTCATTTTTTTATAATCCCAATAAATCATAAACAGTCTCTCCAAA